CAAAACAAATTCAAAACTTGGGCTTTTTTTTTTTCTTTTTTCCTTTTTTGGAGAGGGCTTGCCTTCTCTCAATGTCTATATATCTAACCCTTTTTGTTAAATTTTTTTTTTTTACAGTGCCATTTATGCACAATTTACACCAAAAGAATGAATCAAGATTTAAATTTATAGGGTGTGTAAAATTAGGGTCTAGAACTGAGAAATGCATCTTCTTAGGCAAGCAATTGGTGTGTTCTTCTGTTTGATTTCCTGTCTCCAAACGGTGCCTATATCTTCAGCTATTTTAATGGCATCTGAGGCTGCTCCAGAAAGCCCCCTCCTTGTGAACCCAACTGCATAAAGCCCTGATTTCCCTTTCCATCCGTGGGGAAATGCGGCCTTTGGAAACCCATTTTTGCCGAACAATTCCCTTTCCTGTAACACAAACATTTCCAAAACAATATTAGATTTTTATACACTTTTTTCTCTCCCAAAAAACAGAAAAAACCAAATTTTTTTTTTAAAAAATGGTCAAGTCAATGCCATTTTCAGTCAGACAAACAAAACAACATAGTATTATACAAACAGAGGATTCAAATATATAAAATTTTTTTTCTCTCTCTCTCACCTGAAGCCAAAACGGCACGTTGCTACGGTAACCAGTTGCCAAAACGACTGAATCAATGTCGAGCTTTTCGCCATTGATGAACTCAACTTGCTTCTCACTGAACTTTTTGATTCCTGCTACCACTTTAATGTCTCCAGATCTGATTTTGCTCAGTGTTCCAATGTCCAAAACAGGGGTTTTCCCCTTCGTGTTCTTCAGCTCCAATGGCCCCATTGATGGCCGCTTCAGCCCATATTTCTCAATGTTTCCAAGCACAAACCATGCCAAAATCAGCATCAACTTGTCCACTAGCCAAAGTGGAAGCCATTTCATCAGTAAAACAGCCAATTCGAAAGTCGATTTTCCAAGAACTTCCCTCGGCAAAACATGAACCTGTAGAACCAATAAAGAAATTAAGATTTCAATAAAAAAAAATCCAATTGAAATCTGAGCTTTAAAAACAAAAAAATTGGTGGTGAAAAAATTTATGCTCGATCACTCACCGAGCTCCGAACCACCATTGATGGAGAAGCTTCATGGTTGCAGAGGTCGAGGGAAACTTCCATGCCGGAATTTCCGCAGCCCACAACGAGAACTTTCTTTCCCTTGAACTTCTCGCCGGATTTATAATCGGAGACATGCAAAACTTCGCCGGCGAATTCGCTGAGCCCCTCGATTTCCGGCATGACACACTCAGCATTCTCGCCGGTGGCCACCACGAGCCACCGGCAAATGTACTCGACCTCGCCGGAGCTCGACTCGGTCTTGACTCGCCAGAGTCCACTCGTCTCGTCGTACCTCGCGGATTGAACGCACTCGTTAAACTGGGGGCTAATTTCGAATTTCTTGGCGTAGCTTTCGAGGTATTGAATGAATTGTTTCTTGGAAGGGTATTCTGGGAATTCTTCGGGAAATGGAAGCCTCGGGAGCTGGCAAAATTGCTTCGGGAGATGAAGCTTAAGCCTATCGTAAGTCCGTTTTTGCCACAGAGAAGCTATGCAATCGGCTCTTTCCACAACCACAAACGGGACGCCTTGTTCTCTCAGGCACGCCGCCGTCGCCAGCCCCGACGGTCCGGCGCCGACGATCACCGGCCCATTAACCCAAACGCACCGGTGGGGGAAGAAACCTTCATGATCCGCCGGATGAAGCAAATTGAAATCCATTTTTTTTTTCTAGATAAAATAAAAATGTGTTTTGCTTTGTGGATTTGGCAAAATGGGTGAGGAGAATTCAAGGTTTTTTTTTTTTTTTAAGAATAGAAATTTGGTTGGGATTGGAGAATGAGGAGATAATTTGATTTGGAGTGAGGGAGAGGGGAGGGCGTGGGAGGGGCTTAAATAGAGAATAGAGGGTGCATGTGATGGAAGTGAGGAGGTAAGGGGATTTTAGAGTGTCATTCTCAAATCATAAGACTGTGGATCCACTTTATTATTTAATCATATGATATGCTTTTGTTATTATTTTAATACATCTTAGTGCACTCTATACTATGCTTTATAAAATAAAATAGAAATATATTCATATACATAGCTAAGCTAAAAGTAACATAGTTTGAAACCAATTATAAATATATATAAAAGGAAGAGTTTAGCTATTATTCCAACTTTTTATTTAACTAGTTATAATTAATATGGTGAAACATATACTTTACTTCTCTTCTTCTTGACCTGCAAATATACTTGTTACTTGTATTAAAAATAGTCATCTAAGTTTTGGCTTACAAAAATGAAGGGGAAGTATATAATGTGACATATTTTGGTTTGTTGACGATGAATCTCCAACGTTAATCGATGTATGAATTTTTTAAAGATTCATGTATTTTCTATATGTTATAATATGAGATATTTACATAGTTAGATCTCTAGGATGACCTACTATTTATTATTATGTTAGGTTAAATATATTATACTACATCATATGACTAATCATTTTCTTAAAAGATATTAAGATTATAAAAGCATGTTTAAAATAAGTTTGATCACATTATTGAAGTTTCTTTTGTAACTATTTGGATCAAATATTCGACAATAAACCTATAATTGAAATTTAAGATCAAAGAGATATATATAAGCATTTATTATAATGTCAAAATATGAAATTTAAATTAATTAAATAAGTGTTTGATTCACAAGTCGGATTTATATTTATAACTTGTACATAATATTTGATATATGATTTTGTTTCTCCAAGACTATAAATTTACTAGTTTCACGAGTTCTATATAAATCAAAAAATTACTTAGAACCCAAACTTATGACACCCACTTCTTGAACTACCAAATCAAACAAAAGGTACACACGAACTTAAACATTTGTGACTGATCTTTTAAATCTCAAATCATATCAATTCAAAAATTATAATAAGTGATGAACCAAATATTTTGAACAAATCTATCAGCTAAACTATCAATCTCTATTACTTTTTAATAAAACTAAAAAATTAAAGTCAATTGAAAAATCATTTAAACCGAGATGAAACTCATATTGAACTTTTGTTAGTTTAATCATTGCTCATAGATTTATTTTTAATAAAACTAAAAATTTAAAGTCAATTGAAAAATTATTTAAACCCAGATGAAACTCATATGAAACTTTTATTAGTTTAATCATTGCTCATAGATTTGAAAGAAGTTGCAGTTAGGGGAGCAATTGGGAGTGATGAAGACTCATCCTCTTCTGATTCTATTGGGACCCCAAAAGGATTTTGAGATCCCACGGTGAATTCATGAATCAGTAATATAAGTTTATTTCAAAAAGGAAAGAAAAAAAGAAAAACAAAAATAAAATAGCCACGTGGGCAGGATTCCAAGTGGTAAAAGTGCGGGGCCCGCAAGTGTCCAACGTGGACCCCAACAAAAGCCTTCCACCTCATCGGGATTGCAATATTCGTAAAGCTGTTTCAGTTCTCAGAGCCCCCATTCTGCCAACCGTTTTGTGCTGAGAGCCACGTGGTCATCCCACTGTGCTTTCACATAAAGAAATACTTTTTGTTTACTTTAAATATTATTTCTTATTTGATCCATTCTAATTTTATTTTAGCAGTTGTATTTTGATCTAGAAATTTTTAATAAAATTTTGTTTTGATTTTTATGGCTAGATTTTAATGTTTTATTAAATAAAAGTGGCAAAGCACCATATAGACTCGTATTTCAAATTACATATTTTAAGTAGCATATCAAATTAAATGATAATGAATGTAAAATTTTACAAACTAAAAAATATTTAAATCAATATATTAAACTCCACTATTGTTTTAATAATAGGTTATACCGAAAAAAAGGCACTCTAATTACTTTTATTAAAAAATTCAATTAATGGATATTGATGTAACACATCTATTAATTTATCTAGTTGTCTATCACATCGCATTAATTCAATTAAAATTTATCAAGTGAACAATGTTTTAATAAAAATAATAATAATCATTAAATATAATTACAATTCAAATTTTAGAAATGTAATTGAAAATTCTTAAATTAGACTAAAACTATAATTATCCCAATAGTTTTTATTTTATTATTATTATTGTTTTGAGTTCAATAACATATGAAGATGAAGATTCGCCTTCAAATGCAAAATCATCTTCTAAAATTTAGAGGATGCTTACAAATTAGTCATGGTATATATTCAATTAATTTAGGAAACTATTTCAATTATTTAAATTTGAAAAACCCTTATAAATATATATTTCTTCAGATTACTTAATAATTTAGTGTGATTAAATTACTTTTTGTCATTATTATTTACAATTATTCAAGAAAAAAAAGCAAAAGAAGTATCTAGAGACAACGAAATAGCATTAGATATTAAACTGTTGTATTTATTTACAAATTTTTAAAAAGCCAAAAACAAATAATTTTAATCAGAAATTTGTTTTCTGTTTACAAATAATATTTTTTTAATAATTTTTAAACACGATTTGCATGGGTGAGTACGTGGAACGCTTTGAAATAAAGCCTACTATCTTATTACACCACGTGTCCTTAAGTGGACACGTGGCTTCCATTAGCATCTCTGATTGGGTTTTAGCTTTTCTTTGACTTAATTTGTACTGTTGATTAATTTATTTATTTTTGGTAAGTACCATTTATTTTATTTATTTATGTATTAAGCGCGGAAAACCAAGCGTGATTAATTTATTTCCTCCTTTCCTCACTAATAATTTATTTGTTGGTAATAAAAAAATTACTCGAGAAACTAATCATAATTTCCTTTGCAAAACGAAACTAATCATAATTTATTGGTTTTTTTTTCATCCCATAATTTATTGGTCATAAAGTATACAAATTACTCCAAATATTAGTACTCATAGATATCGAATAAAGTTTTAAATCAAATGCATCTCAAATTTACTATTTACGTATATCATCTTCGTGAAAATGACAAAGATCGATGATTTTTATTTTATTCGTATATGTTGGTCTTATCAATGATTTTTCTATTTTTCACAATAAATCTCTTGACAATTCTATCACAACGCGAAATTGTCGACAAAAAAATTTTATTAAGAAAAAATGTCGCCGACGTTTTATTATTTAACAGCGACAAAAACTTACCTTGACAAAAATCTAATTTTTTTTGTGTAGTGTGTTAGATCATACACTAAACAATGTAAGTAAGTTGAATTGATGTTTTTGACCAAAATTGACATTATGCATTGACTAAAGATTGAAAATAATGTTGAAATAAACTTCATTATTCAAATCAATTATTCAAATCAATCAAATAAGTCACCTGATTAAAATAAATTAACAAAAACAAACTAAACCAACTAAAAATAGTTAATTTTTTTGATTTCCACTTGCAACTTACTTCCAAAATCTATTAACTTTTTTAACAATCATTTTTATATTTAATATACTTTTGTAAAAAAACTTATTCATTATTATTATTTTTTTCTTTGGCTGGTTTAGAGTTACGTTCTTACAAAATTTAGCCACATTTCATCACTGTAAAGTATCATTAATTCGGAATAGACTTTGAATTTATCAAATAAGAAATCTAAAAAAGAAGCATAGAATATTTAGCTCTTTAACATTTCATATAAGAGCCTATGTAATCAAATTATTACTCAAAATATAAGTAAATATTAATTTGGCTAATTTAAGATGACAGTTGCCAAATATATTATATGTTAAAAGAATAATGATCACTTATAATGAAATAAAGACCGTATAGTCATAGAAGCTTTCGTTTTTCTTTCTTTTTTCTCTTCTTTTTAATCTCCAAACTCTCTATGCCAAGATCAAATTTTTTTTTTTTGGAAAATAAAATAGTTCTTCTCATTTAAACTTTAGTTGAAATCTTTTTCCTTTTCTTTTTAAATCTCCAAACTCTCGCTATGCCAAGATCAAATTATTTTTTGGAAAAAAAAAATAGTTCTTATTGTTTAAACTTTAGTTGAAAGAGTAGGCAATTTTAAGGTCTATTTTTTTTTTAATTTCATCCGATTAAACCTTAAATTTGAATAAATGCGGTACCCTTCAAAACTAAATTAGAAACTTAGCCCAATAATCAAACTAAATAAATGACACAAAATTCCACTAGCAAAACACTTAAAACAAAGTTCCCATAATTCACTTAAATGCAAAGGAACAAAATCAAAGGGAGATCGAGAAGTACTCAAATTCGGTTTCGAAATCTTCAAACTCAACTAAAACTTTACAACACAACCCAAAGAGCTATGCGCATCTAGGAATTGCAACATACGTAAGAATTAATTTTATATATATTCCTTGACAACCAAATGTAATAGGATCAGACGATTGCCTCGTAAAATTAATCGAGGTGTGCACAAGCTGACCCGAACAGTGACGAATATTTCTGACCATAAAAATGCTCCACGAACTAGAGGAAATTATAAAATGCAAAGTACAATGAGTACATGAAAGAAATGGAGTTGGAAAAATCATGGAATGACGCACACACCACTTAAGGGGGGGTCAAGAATGATATTAAAATCTCAAAAGAAGAAGAAGAAAATAGTATTTAAAAAAGGTAGAAAAGGAAAGGCATGGGAAGAGGAAAGGGAAGGCATGTGCATGGAACTTGAAAGGCAATGAGAGACTCTCCTTTTGATGAAAATAATTTGTATATATGCATTTAGGAGCTTTGTGGGAGTTCTTTGGCCTTTCCAAAAGGGTTTCCCTTTGTGAATCATTGCTTCTCATCTTCACTTGTAATTCTATAATTAATCTACAAACCTCCAAGTGAAAACCTACAAAAGGGCTAAGGTTTTAATTAATAAAGTTATCATGCTATTATTATTTGAGTGGCTCCAATATCATTTT